TAAACTTAGAGAAAAAGGACATAACGCTAGAATCTTGAGAGCTTCAAGAAATATTAATCTTTACTAGTGTTTACCAATATTTTACAATTTGTTTTCGAATAAAATTAATACTCGTGCATAATATAATAAATTTAATTTGACTACTTGAACTATATTTAGGTCAATAGATAAAAACAATACATCTAAAAAATGACCAAGTTTGGAATCCAAATAGATCAGAACAGTCGGGACGATCTCTCACTCTTCCGAGGAATCTGCCAGACAATGTTAACACTCCGACGAGCAAGTCCGTCACAATCTGATCTAAGCCTTAAGTATAAAAAAATTCGCGCACATTGTATAAGGGGCAGGGCATCCCTATTTATAGAGTAACAGGACTTCCGACAGTGACATAACGATCATCCAACCGTCCGTGAAACGTGGTATTAGAAATAGGTTGGCTCATACATTAGTTAGGTGGGCTATGTAAGATGCACAATAGCTCGACTCGGAGACGCGACATCAAGCTGAAGGAAATTGTTGAAACAGGTAAAACGGCCTCCAATGGTATGCGTCCACATAAATTAAACAAATAAATATTATAAAATAAATGGGGAAGGTAAGAATGCTTAAGTGGTGTTTGGTTGGAATAATTTATTTATTTATTTATTAATTAGAGAAAGCCAAAAACAGCTAAGGCATGGAGAGCAATAAGAAATTATATATAAATATGTATTTATTTTATTTTATTTTTATTTTTTTGAAAAGCTTCCATGTTCATTTTCAAACCTTAAATAATTGGTGTAATAATTCTAAGCCCCACTCTACTAAATACAATATATTCTTAATAATAACAAAATAAAATAAAGACCCATTTGGATTAGATCTTTGTAGGTGAGCCAAAGTTGGTTTGAAGAGCCAAATATATATTTATATTTGTGTGGTCTCTAAAGACTTCAATTGATTGCTTTATTTGATTATTGGCTTTTGTGGACTCTATAAGGGCCATATAAATTATATACTTATATTATATGCAATTAATTTAAGCCTCCATCCAATGAGTTGATTGAAAATGACAACTTTGTTTTATGTAATTTTTTCCTTTCTCTCTTTTTTTTTTAAGAAACTTGGTGGAGGGTTCGTTCTTGGTAATGATGGAACATCGCTTCATAGTTAAAAACAAATATCACTAAAGTGGATCATAATCTCGACCTAAGTAATAAACTGGACTCTTATTATATGATGATTATTATTATTGATGATATCACTAAAGTCAATTACAATATGATTAGTGAATGTCAATCACTTTTAAAAATAGAGATTTTATTCGTTTGAGTTTGGTCATTTCCATCATAATTTTTTAATCTCCAATGTGACGTATTGGAGTAAAATTAGTTAGTTACATATGTTCGTCTAACTTTGATGAAATTTAATAATTTAACTTTAGATATTACAATATCGTTTAAGGATTGATTTAAGGACTGCTATTTTGTCTTTTGTAAATAAAAAAATGAATAAATATATGAATTCTCAATTTATTTTATAGTAAATATATAGTTTTAGGAAATTAAAGAAATAGTTTTTTAATTAATTTGACTAGCTAGTTTTTCCTTTTTAAATTTTGTTTCTGGAAAGGTCATTAGAGATCAAAAGAAAATTCTAAAATATACTAAATCAAGACAAAAGAAAAGGTTAGACTTTTTGTTTGACAATGTTGTTTTTCTTTTTTCTTTTTTCTTTTTTCTTTTTTCTTTTTCTTTTTAATTGTATTTTACCAATAATTTCTTTACTTTATTTCTTACTTTTGAGAATACTTTTGAAACCTTGCCAAATTTTAAAAACAATAATTTCAAACATAAATGAATATAATTTAATTCGGAATATTATCCATCTTTTTCAAATTTAGTCAAGATTTCAAAAGCATCTATCTTTTTAATATGGCACAAATAAAAACAAGGAAATTGTTGGCAACCATGTTCATTTTCTAAAGCTGAATTAGTTATCTACCAAAAATAATTTGATCTATAGATCAACTACATGTCATTATTAAAAAAATAAAAAGAATAAAACTAAATTGAAATATATTATATTAATCTAGAAATTAAAAATGTAGTTCAATATGTAATTTTTTATGGGGTGGATGCAAAATATACAAATCTACATAAATACATGCAAGAGTTTATACATACATATAAGCATACATACATACACATATGATCAATAAAAGTTATACCAAATAAATAAATAATATATCTATTCTCATTTTAGGATGAATTATGGTATGTGGCTGCCACAATATAATTACTCTTTAATAACCTGGTTCAAACATTTATAAGTTTCCTATTAAATCATTTATTTTTTCTCTATCATATACATTAACAATATATTTTTCTTTTTTTTAGTATAATATGTGGGAGTAGGGATTCGAAATTTCAACCTCATGATTAGACACATGTGTCTTAACCCGCTGAACTATATTCCGTGGGTTATACATTAAGGATATAAAACTATGAACGGTACTTTTTAGAGCTTCTTCCATAATAATTTCTCCTACCAACGAAACAGTGGACAATTTTCCCCCCTTAATTTTTCTTAAATTAATATATATATATAATATTAGTTAATTAATTAAACTTTTAAGTAATTCTATAGTTATCTCCAAATGCCCTTATTACATGTTCTAATGAAATTTTCTTTCAATTTGTAGTTAGGCTCTCTCCTACAATATAATTATTTGCTAGTTTTATCCATAAAAATACTAATTTTTTAATATTATTTCATTAACAACAAAAAGTGTAAATTTTTGGGCAAAATATTTGTTTTATTTTCCTTTGCAAAAAAAAAAAAGTTTTAAATTATTTGATTTCCTAAAAAAATTTATTTAGTTGTAAAATTTTTAAGGCTAAACATATTTTATCTAACGAGTAATGATTTGAGGGGGTTTGGTATATTTCTAATCTTGACGGAATTGGAATAATAATCCTGATGGGTGAGAATATATGGCATCAAATCCACAAATATTTTTTTGGGATTAATTTTGGATTTTAATCCATTTGGTAAAAATGTAAAATCACCCAACTAGCTATGCATATTTATTTATTTTATTATTATTATTTTTTAGGGAACTAGCTATGCAACTTATGAACTTGTCGCAACTAAATCATGTCAATATAACACTAATAGTAAAAGTTTGAAAATTCACAAATTCCCTAAACAAAATAATTTTTATATTCAAACTCTCTCGTTATAGGAATTGTTAAAATTAAACGTTGAAAATTTTGCAATTTTAAATTGTTCCAATAAAAACCAATTCACCAACGGAGTTATAACAATTGGAGAGTTTAATTGTAACAATTTTTATGGTTTAAGATATTATTAATTCAATTAAAGTTCAAAAGTGTGATCATAAAAATTCTCGGATAATTAAGTTTCTTTGAATACTAATTTTAAGAAATGGTCCAAAAATGATTTATGACACTAATATTTAATGAGAATTATAAATTTTTGTTAGGTCTGAAGGTTCGTTTGAGCTTGTTGGATTCTAATACTATATCAATACTTATGAGGTTCAATTTAAAAATCAATTGACTATGAGTGGCGGAGTAGCCAATGTATATTATAAAAGTTTCTTATTTTTTTAATATGGGATCCTTGTTAGGCATCATTCTCAAAGTATATGGACTAAACTTGTAATTTAACCTTTTTTTTTAAGTTAAATAATACGTGAGGGTGTGAATTCGAACCTTCGACCTTTTTGGTGTATGATAGAGTTATGCTCATGTTAGCATTTTAATAATTTCTGGTTTGCTGAGAATTGTGACAAGGGACGACAAATTTATATCAATAGTTATGGTCCGAATTAATGTAAGAGATGACACCCTTTGTTTGAGCTAATGTTAAAACTATATTTAAAAAAAAAAAAAAAAAAGTTNAAAAGTTATCTGTAGGAGAAAAATCTTTTCAAGAAGTGGACCTTTTTTGCAGAGGAATATAAGGAAGCTAAGACTGAGGAGCTTCATACAATTGATTGAATTCTAGCCTTCATTTTAGCTTCTTCCTATTTTAGATACTTTTTTCAAGTCTTCTTATAGACCCTACCAATTTGTGCTTTTTTTATTCTCAACCATTAGACTCTTTTTTTTTTAATAATAAAACAAGGGACGTTTAGTTATGCTGACTTTGGCCTGAACTATTAGAACTTAATTGACATGCATTTCATGGGATTAATTTAATATAACTCGTATGTAGATAACAAATCAAACAGTGATTATATTTGAGTTACTTAATGACAATATCAAGTGGTTTTAGTTTGATCCTAAGAGATTATCAAACCAATACCTTTACATCGCTCTATAGATTCATATACAAGTGCACTTTGTCAAACAGCCCATTATTATTAAAATAATGTGAATGAAATGTAGGGCGAAATGGGAAACATACCCACTCAATCCTTCCAACTTTTTTGTGTTTACATGCCATATATTGAAATTCAATTTTGTGAGTAATTGAGGACTATCATTCATCAATCCAACAACAAAAAGTTGTACAAAAATAAAATATAATTTAGTCATTATTTAATTACAAATTTAACCCCTAAATTATTAATCCTTAAATTTCAAAAAATTACAATTAGATCTTTGTTAGTAAATATTGGTACATCCCTATTAAAAGATAAAACTTATTTGACACTTTGATTGATGAAATTTAATAAATAGACAAAATAAAGTAGCAAAAACGAAACAATATGTTGTTTTCTAAAAATCATATGTGTCATTTTATTTTATCCAATTGGTCACTTCCTTCTATCATCAATCATGACAAGCAAAATTTTTTTTTTTTTGTAGATATTTACCTCGCCATTTAATTTGCAATGAAAAAATCTATAATAATCATAATGCAAAGTTCAAAAATGCAATTAAAAATTTCTAAAATTTAGGAATCTAAGTAGAAACTAAATTTATATTTTGATCATCATGAGTTTGTGTCATTAACATTTTCATGTCACAGTTAATGGATCCAACTGCAGTAGAAAGTCAAAAAGCTGTCATTGTAATGAACATAAGGTTGGTTTCCAAAGAAAAGTGGTGTAAAAGGAAATACAAATGGGTGGGATCAAAACTAGAATATCTATCAAACCTACAACAAATCTTTTCTCCCCTTTTTAGTCATCAACCCATAGAAGTAAACATATAGTTAGCCTAAGAGCACATTTCCTCATCCTCGTTTCGTTTTCGTCTTTGTATCAGCTGTGAACGAAAGAGAAAATTCTCGACTTGTTCATCTGAGGACGCTGCAAAGTTGTATATGGCCACCAGATTTTGGAGAATCTCCATGCTAATGATCTCTGTGGAGCTTCAGGATTCAGATTGTAATCACCCTATTCTTAGCCAATGAGGCTGTTTATGTGTTGTGTAAATTTTCTAGTCTTGAAGTTTAGACAAGTAAACTGCAGCAATTATGATTAGGGTAGACAGTAATATGAATACATGCTTCGAGCTCAAAACAGCTATATCGATTCTTCTCATGGTCTCTAAATCAGGGTCAGTAGCAGCAGGATTAGTCGTAGTCCCACCAACAGAGCCATCATCCTGAGTTTTTTCAGCCTGAAACCAAAAAAAGATGATCTCTTTCAATATAAAATAAATTTCCCAGTGCTTCGCCATTATTAAATTTCAGGTAACGCAGTAGAATGGTCAAAGCAAAAGCGAGAGGACGTGGAGAACATCAAGAAGTAAGCCTTGCCCTCGGATTTAACACAACCCTCGAGCTTTGATAGTTGTGTCTATTTAATTAGTCTTTAAATTAAATTAACTATATCCTTGAACAAGATAGTCTTTTAACACGGATAACTAAAAGATGACATGATATGCCTATCAAACAAAAGTTCGCTAGATGATAGAAAGATGTGGACAAAAGTAAAATGACATGTACAACCTATCCTCCTTCAAGGTATGAAATTCCTTTAATAGATTATGTCATTCTACTTTGTCGCTTGTCCACTCCCTTGTTTCATTCTTCTACCATATGTGCCAAATCAACTCCCTTATTTCATTCTTCTACTATATGTGCCAAATCAACCAATAATTGAGGAAAAGACATGTCACGTCATCATTTAGCTAAAAATACAAACAATAACTATGCGATCACAATTCAAAGTTAAGAAAAGTAACTGAAACCCTTTTAAAATTTAAGGACTAAATAGCATGATCATGAAATTTTAACAACTAATTAGAATCCTTACAAAATGTTGCACAAAAACACTAAGATCAAGATACAAATTGGGTGTGCATAAGCATAGGTGATATTTGATAGAAACCAGATAACCAAATTAATATTAAAATATAAAAAGATAGAATCGACGTATTTGGAAATTGGACGACCTTCGACCCTCTTACTCTTATGTATTCTTACTCAAAGCTTAAACCACTAAACAAGCTTGTCTCCATCTCCTCCCACCTCCTCTATTTTTAACCAATTCCTCGACTAATAACTAAGATACCATTGTACTCCAATAATATTCCCTAATACCCTAATAAAATTCCTGTCAGTAGGCTAGCATTTGCTTTATCCATGTCTATATTTTAAGCTAAATTTATTAAGAAGGAACCCGTGTGAACATTTATAATAAACAATAAATTTGCAGTGTGAATAAAATGGAACGATTCGTGCAACCGGTCGGCTCGTACAGGCTGGCTGGTTCTCTCTTCAAATATTCTTTTCTAGCTCATTAGTTCTTTGTTCTCTTTATTTATTTCCCTGTATTCGCATAGGAATGTTAGGGAGTAATTAGGGTTAATATAATAATAAAGACATGTTAGTAATTAGATGGGGAAGTTGTTGGAGGGAGTTGTTATAAATAGAGTGAGGAAGGAAGGATGAAAGTAAACAATTGTTGAGTGTGGTTTAAGCTTGAGTAATCAAAAGGAGGATCCAAGTACATGACTTGGGAATTATTGTAATCCTTCTATCATTTTTATCTTCAAATCTATTTTAGCCATTCAAATTTTATCATATTCATCACATTGGTATTTTACGTTGTACGCAGTTGGTTTTCCTCGTAAAATCACTCACTAGTTTGTATTCACTAGGATGTATCCTAGACCTATGAGTATATACATATGAGGAAGTTTCTCCTTTCTTCAATGATCGTCCATTTGTCACAAGAGAAAGGATGATTACATCACCATTATCGCTTCTTGACCCTCAAAAAGCGATCCAGAATTCAAAACCTAGAAGGACAAGAAGAATATGGTAATATCCTGGCTCAGAAATTTGACTAGTGAAATAGAAGGAAATTTTCTTCTCTACATTATAACTAAAGAAACCTTGGAGGCTGAAGAAAAGACTGTTGTATAGATCGATCATTTGAAATTGAAGGCTCACTTGCACAATTTATGTCAAGATCATAAGCTCGTAATGGTTGAATACTCTCCATGATCCACGTCAAGGTGTCTGGATTCAATACCTCAATCAATTAGTTGATACTGGAAACAATTAGATTTTCATGAAATCACTAAATGGGGAGGCACGATGATGCTGTCACTTATAAGACCTCTAAGAAAACGAGAATATCCAAGTTCATGCTTCGCCTAAACAAAAATCTAGACAAGGTAAGTAGTATTTTTGCTATTAAACTTTTACCTTCGCAATGTTTTTGTTAAAACTTTTACTGGAAAGAAAGTTGAAAAAGCTTATGTGGGGCAATCCACTCATCGTTCAGCTTCGACTTCAAGGTCATTTACAAAAGAAAACCAACCAAGTAAAGGATGGTTGTGGTGCGACTATTCATGGCAAACCAAATAATTGGAAACCTCACAATCCAATAGATTGTTGAAAAAAATAGGGGTATGTGTGTGACGGAGTGGGGAGGTAACTTCACATCCATGGATGAAAAATTCAGTTCATAAAACCAAACCATTCACTATGGACCAATTAGATATTTCGAAGAAATTGGAACAAAATATGGAATCAGGTAAAAAGTTCAGAGAGTGAGAAAAAGAAAGGACGATACTCTCCCTCGCTCTGTAAAATCAGCTGCTTTTTGGAGCCTCGAAGAAAAAATTCAAGTAGTCAGTAGGTTGAAGAAATGGAAGAACTTCACCTCCTCAAAATGTGGTGGAGTTACCTTGATAAACACTGTCCTCTCTAGCCTCCCTCTCTGCTACTATATTTTTTATTGCCCAAGAAAATTTATCAAGAGATGGGAGAGGATCATCAGGAATTTCTTATGGAGAGGTACTAAAAGACACCAATGGTTTTAATCCTTGTAAATTGGGGCGTGACTTCATTACCCGTCTGCAACAGTAGTCTAGGTGTTGGGAATCTATAGACAAAAAACATGGCTTTACTGTGGTCTAGTTTGCCATGCCTTCATTAAAGGAAGACAAATCAGTAGTGCAAACCTGGTCACTAATGAGGTGGAAAATGAATGGAGAATTTAAAAAAGAAGAAATGTCCGGTCATCAAATTACATTTGGAAAGCACAGATTATATGGTCAATTGCCGTCGATGACATAAGAGAGTTCAATGATTTTTTTTTCCTTATAAACTTATATTGCTGGGCCTTCTTGGTTGTAACTTGTCAGCTCCTGATGGTATATTATTTGTTTTTGAAAAATATATAAATGCATTATTGCTTGGTGGAAAAACTTTGAAATCTATTATGAAAAACATAAACGAACGGGAAGATCTCCATATCCAATAATTCATAAAAATTAGTAATAAATCATAGTGTTACCTCAGGGCCTGCAGCAGACAACTGGGTATCATCTACCTGAATTTCTCTTGCACAGGTAGTAGTAGTAGTAGCAGCAGCAGTAGAATCTTGCTCGGGTGCAATTTCTTTTGTTCTAACTGTGTTGCAGTGATCTGTAACTACAGAATCCTGATTTGCTTGCTTTAACTTTGCTGCCAATATTTTGTTTTCCATTGCCAAAGAAGAAATCTGCGAAAATGTTATGGTAATTATTAGAACATCAGACAGAATTGTCTTGAAGTTCGAAAGAAACCAGTTTATGCTAAGATGTAAAGTTGACACGCTGCTGTTTTGGTGTTGCAACCACATATATTTTCCCTTTAACCGAAACCGCGTGCACACACATATTTGTATTGAAAACATATTGAGTATCATTAGAAAACAATGTAAAGAAAACCACGAAGAGATAAAATTTAGCTAAGTCAAAAACTTCATCCAAGCTTCTAGATTTATCATTGAATAATCTGTGATTTATTTCTAGCCAGTCCCCCATAAAAATGCTTTACTGCATTTACCCATAACAATAGCTTTCTTCTTACACCTGAGGCCACAAGATAGTTGGACTATATTTTCCTTTACTGACTCACGCAATCAATACTTATAAGAACTATATTTTTTTTATCAGAAAACATGAGATGAAATGAAAGAATACATAAGGGCATAAAATAAACTAGCCCAACAAAAATAACCGCCCAAACCCAAGACTAACCATACGAGAAAGAGGTCCAATCCAAAAAGACAAAAGGGTAGTTCAAGAAGAAAAAAAAAACACCTTAATAACAGAAGCCCGAGGCGCATTGAATCTAACCAGAGACCACACCCCCTCAACTAAAAAAATTATCCCACTCCTCTCTAGCCAAATACCCAAAATAACAGCAAAAAAAAGCACACCACCATAAGGGGAATGGAAAAACACCTCCATCATCGACAAACACTCTGTTCCAAACCCAACTAACACCAACGGACTCCAGAAAACGAGTCGAAATTGAAGGGGAAATTCAAAAACAGGCGACTCTGATCTTATCTTACTAATCTTTGAACAATTAAAAAACACAGCAATGGTACTTGACCACCTAAGGAAACTAAATATGAAAGGTAAAGCATATCTGAAAGCTTTCTTTTATATGATTTTCTCTTCCTCGAAATAGTTTTTCAGGAATTTTTTCATCCAGTTCAAATAGACCTCAAGTTGGCATTTGCTGACACCTTCCATCACCTGTTAGTTCTACTTTTCTCACAAGAGTGCACTCGACAACAAAATAACATTTATTCAATTGTAACTTTTATTATGGGACTACATGCCCTAAAAAAAATTAATAAAAAAATAATATAGTTCTGCTCATAAAAACAGAAATAATCTATGAAGCATATTCTCAAGTCACTAGCATCAAGATGAAATCAAAGTCCAGGCATATATTTTATCAGGTTCCTCTAGCCTCTAGGATTGGAAAATACCTGCTTATGAAGACGATCTCTCTCAATAGCCACTTGCATAACCAAGTTTGTTATAACTTTAGTGCGCACGTCAATATTCTTTGCTGAAGCCTTCTTTCTAGACTCGGCCTGTTGCAAAGATGTCTCCAAGAAATCCAGTCTACCACGCACAAGCCTCAATTCCTCATTAACTTCTGCATAAGATTCAGTTAATAAGATGCAATTCTCCTCTGCACGGTCAGCTCTACTGTCTGCTTTCACAACCTTCAACTTCAGATCCCTGATCAAATTTTCCATGTCATTGATTGCAGCATAGAGCATGGTTTGCTTCTCTTGACTAGCTTCAGCAGAAGCCACAGCCCGCTGAAGTTTCATATCTGATTCCCTCAACCGTCTTTTAAGAGCTTCAATTTCCTCAGATTCCTTGAGTTGTTTCTCAAGTGAACTCACCTTCTCCTTCAAAGTGACAGTCTCAAGATTGGAAACCATCAACTTTTCTTCAGCTTCCTTCAATTTGGATTTTAATTCATCAGTTTGCAAATTTAGAGTCTTTTTCAGTTCCGCAATGTTGTTCTTACAATTAAGTAATTCGCTTTCTTTAGCTTTCAACTGTTTCATAGAACCATCAAATTTTAATCTCAACTCAGCCTCTCTCTGCGCTGAACCATTTATACTGAACTGAAGAAGCTGGAGCCGACCAAGTAATCCTTTCGAAACACCAGTGAGAACCTCTGATGCATTTTCTGCCTCAAAACACCTCCCACAAACATCTTCTACTTCTTCCTCCAAAGAATAAACATCTTGTTGTGAAGAATGCAGCCTCAGTTTCAGTTCATCATCAATTTGAATTGTTTCAGTCAGTCTCTTTTCAAGATCCATCTCTCTCGCCAAAGATTTCTCCAGCATCCTCAGAATGTGTATCTGATGTTCAACTGTTCGCATGTCTATTATGGGATTCCTGTCCAGCAATTGATTATTCTCTTGCAAGTCTGTACCCCTATCACCATTTCCTGTCAAAATCCATGTGTTGTGAGGTACAATCATTATTATGTTTTATTTTTTTTATGAGAAACAAATATTTCAGTCGT